TTTTTATTTATTTTTAATATAAATGCACTATACTGTTCAAAAGTTTGGGGGTTGGTAAGATTTTTTTTAATGTTCTTGAAGTCACCAAGGGTGCATTTATTTGATTCGAAATACAGTAAAATCTCAAACATTGTGAAATATTATTACAATTTAAAATAATTGTTTTCTATTTTAATGTATTTTAAAATTCCTGTGATATCAAAGCTGAATTTTCAGCACCCATTACTCCAGTCTTCAGTGTCACATTCAGAAATCTTTCTAATATGCTGCTTTGGTGCTGAAGAAACATTTCCTAAGTTCAAAATAACAGCATTTATGAATTAAAGTATTAATTTTTGCATAAAAAACTATTTATATCTATTCTAATGAGAAATGAGGAAATGAGCATTGCAGTCACCAATTATTTGCTTAGTCATTACTAAAGCTCATTAGTTCAAGATCATTAGACATGACATGCAACTTGAAACCTGATCTGAAACCAGTTTCAATAAAAATGTACCTTCATTTAAATCAAAATCAAGTGGAAAAAACCCAAGCTTTATGCCTTGGGACACACCATTAGTAAGGTGTTTCATGCATTTAACAAATTTGATGGCAACACTGACACTATGTGGCTGCAGAGGAAATTGCTTTTTTTATGGCTTTCATCAAAGCTTTGTGTATTGCACTATTTTCAGACTCCACTAACAGGAATATGTTTCGTGTGATCATTCATGAGAAACACTGAGAGGATGCAGAAATAAGACTCATTGACCTTTGCCTTTTGAGGGAGATGATAAATGAGGTCAGAGGAGTGGTGGCATCTGCTGATGACAGGAGGAGCATCAGTGGAGTCTGTGTAGCTTCATGCTGGAAGGAGCCACAGAGCTCCAGCTGAGTCAGAACCACCATCTCAAACTGTCCTTGCTACAGACTATTGCTGTGATCTCCAAAACACAGCTATACTCTAATAAGATGGTAGAGATCATAACTGATCCTGGACTAAAGAACCTATTTCATCTCTGCCATTTCCCAGCCAAAAGGATCACAAAATAAATTACCCATGAGTCCCCTCCGGGTACAGAGGGATTCGGAAGGCTCTCGGGTGGCTTATCTGATGAGTCAGTTCATACTGGGAAAGAGAACTGATTCCTGTTACGCATTAGTAAAGAAGAAAGTAATTTAATTACAAGAAACTGAAGTCATAGTTCATGCTGTTACGCAATCTTTTCAAGCAAGTCTTGAAATACAATAAAATTGGGGAAAAATTTAATAAATACACAAAAAACATCTGTTCATCAAAACAAATCCAGCAAATTATAACAAATCATGATGATCTATGAATATGATTACTAACATTTGCATCTGCATCTTCCTAAAATATAGGGGCTGCTATATATTTCCATTTATACTCTAAGAAAAAAGTGAATTGTAAAAAGTGTCTATTAAGGGATGGATGGATGGATGGATGGACGGACGGACAAACAAATAAATATTTGCCAAACATTAATCTAAAATAATAATGTTAAACATTTTATTCATATCCTATAAGTGCACATTTTAATTTAACTATAGCATAGAGAAGTCATATTTTAAGTGTGCATTTATGATATTAATAAATCTGTTAAACGTACCATAATTACCATAAAGTTTGCAAGTCATAGTTCATGCAAATCTTGAAATAAAATAAAATGGAAATAAAATTAAACAAAAATACACACAGACACACACACACAAAATAAATATATAAATAAATGTGGATGTAAAATAATCATGTTAGACATTTACTTAATATCTTAAGTGCACACTTTAATGTAACTAAATGTGTGTGCGTGGTGGGGTGGGGGGGGAGGGGGTCCTACAAAAAGTAATATCTTTAGTGTGCACTTATGATATTAATGATATATGTTGTATCATGTACCATAATTACTCAAATTTGAATTGCAACCCTTTGCGGCAAAGGTGTATCAGGACTGTTTGCACACAAGATGGGCCCCTGTGCTCAAATTCTCGTCACTTAATCTCTGGGTGATCCTCAGCTTTAGTGAGTTACTGGCCTGAGACCTTCTCATTATTTCTGATTGCTCCACTCTTTGTTCCTCTAAGCAGCGCTTCATAAAACTCTATGAGCGGAGATAGAGCCTGACAACCATGGTGTTTCTGTGGGGCCCTCGCTGCACTTCAGATGGATTAGAAAAAGCCACAAGTGGATGACTGCAGAGCCTGCCGTGCTGATGAGTATGTCCTTGTGAAGGACACACAAGACTAACACCCTGCAGCTGGGATCTATTAGATCACCATATAAAAGAAATTGGTGGTGTTTTATCAGCAGTTTTGACAAGAGCAGACATTGCATGTCTACTGTACAATATGAATCTTTGCTAAACTTCAGACTATCACATTTAGAGGTTCTTAGGATCATAACAATCCATGAGAGAGCCAGATGAGCGATTCAGGTGCACACACATGCATATCTCAGTGCTGATTTACTCCAGTTAAAAGGAGAGCACCACATCTCCTCCTCAACGTCCCTGTAGGTTGAGTTGAAGGACACCAGAGGAATGTTTCATAGCATTTGACATCTGAAACGTTCCCTGTCTGTAATAACAAGGGCTGCTTCTGCACCTTCTGACTTTGTGGTTATTTTTTGCTCTGATTTTGAAGAGCGCAGGAAATCATTACAGTTCTTACGCAAGATGGTAAGCTCATCATTATGTCAGTCAGGGCTTTGCTTTAAAATGAAGACATCTGTTCTTCTGACAAATGGAATATAAATGATGGACTCAAATAAAGGCAAGCACAATGAAAGTCATCTTAAAGTAATATAATTTTAATTTCATACACTGATGATTGCAGAAATTGAGCAATTACTAACAACCTTCATTGCACTTGTGTAAAAATATAATATATAATAGGGAAATTGGATATATATAATAATGCAAAACATACTATGGGGGTTCAAAAGTCCAAGACCACACTTAAACCTGGAAATAAACTAATTATCTCTCTCCCTATATATATATATATATATATATATATATGAGTGGAAACATTGATCATGTAAAAAACTCTAAAAATATCATGTCATTATATTTATATTTTTGAAGAAAATACCAAAAACCTTTAATGTTCATGTATTTTTCAATCTATTTTTTTTAAGAAACATTTAATAATTTGTAATGGAAGAAAATGAAAAATGGGAAATACAACTATTTTCAATAGTAGTCTCAAACATTTTAAGATAATAATTTCCAGACATGTCATGCCAACACTAAAAACTGAAATGAACACCACAAGGATTTACAAATGTATGTTTTTCAATACATCTTCTTTTTTAGAAAATGTATGTATTTCACCAAAGTCATTTATACCTGGCTAGCTATGTCTAAGGAAAGCCGTGTGTGTCAAAGGAGTAGCATCAATCTCTCAAGAATAGGAAATGGAGGAGAGATTCTAGCCGTGAGGAGAACAAATAGGTTTTAAGAGCCCATAGATCTTTTCTCTCACTGTGGTCGTTTTGTGAAATGTAATATTTCACTAAGCCAGAAGCTGCACTGTAACACACTACCTATTAAAATTATACCTGTGTATTTCTTAAAGAAGAGGAAATAATTTCACAGTTTAAATGAGAAACAGCACTGAATTAGCCAGATGGAAATGTTGTGCAGAATTATGCCATCCATATCCTTCAGAAACAGTCTCCGTAGACTTTTGTTTGAATGTGTCTGTGAAGAGATAGAACACCGCCATATGTTTCTGGAATAGAAGAACCGTATAGTAAAAATGACCCCTAAACTATTTATTTGTTTAGTAATGACTAATGGGGTTTCACTTAAGCAGATCTTGCTTTGCTTGTTCAGAAATGTGTGGTGGTGTATTTCTGAAGAACTATTGACATAGTTCTAGCAATTATATATAGCAAAGAAATATTAGAACATGTCTGCAGAATTGAATCCCATCAGACAAAATTACTTTAACAAGTGAATTTTAAAGAGATGTTACATGTTTATTCTCCATTGCACCTCGTCTTGCACCAGTCACATTACAGATAGTGGTGATAAATGAGTCAATTAGCTGTGGGCACACTTCTGGAATCTTGGATTAAAAGAGAGTCATGGAAGACTGTAATGAGCCAGGCTTCTGTCATTGAACTGATTTGTCAGGAAGATTAATGAGTGTAAATGAACAGCTTTTTGTGTAGAAGAGTGTAATACAGCCCAAAAGTTTAATTGACATCAACTACAGCTATCAGGCAAAAGAGCTGCTTCCACAAACAAAAGCAATGATTAATATGCATTTATTAAACGATCCAAAAATGAAATGTAGCTGTAATTTGCAGGTAAAAGCAAATTGCTGTTTATTTGAAAGCTACACTGCCCCCGTTTGGAGACTTTCAGAATGGTGGCACTCTCCAGAGAACAACATGATATACAGTATCATTACCATTTGCAATGTAGTGTATTACTAGCTCAGCAGAAAGTTGATTAGGACCCAAGTGTTGATTAGGACCATAATTCACCTGCGAGGTTGCCAAATCCCTGTCATGACAATTATAGCTGTAATCATGTAACCAACTGTTGCACCAGTATTACATCTTTATGTCTCAAAACGGCCAGTGCACATAAAGAGAAAACACTCTCGTAACCCAAATGACCCTGAAGTGCTATACCAATAAAGTCAGAATGTAAGGAACCTCCTGGCCCAATTTTACCCACTTAATTTGGCTGTATGTTGTGAATTTGATGGATCATGCATGAGCCAGACTGGAGCCCGCTAAAGTCAGCGGCAGCTGGCAGTCACCAGCACAGTTGCTCTGCCAGTCTGGCTGTCTTTAGAGACTGAACATTTCTGAATAGAGCTCAGTGAATTCTGTCATGGCTCAGTGGTGCTCCAGAATTCAGATCGCATACAGCAATTAATCAGGATCTGAGAGGTAATTTACCAGACTGCTTTACTGCTTCACCTAAACAATGTATTAGCTTAATTTGCTTCCTGTAAACCTAGTGTGACTTTGCTCAAAGACAGTTTAATGGCAAACAGGATGCATTATGCTCCCAAAAAGTTGTAAGACAAGTGTTTTGGGCCAGAGGTAATATTAAACAGTATGTCAGAAACACCCATGCAAATAAATAAAATAAAAGGTTGGTTAGTTATGAAACCACAGTATGTAGAGTTTAAGAAAACTGAAAGGAGACCATGATGAGGCTTGCACAAGACTTTGGCATTACGCCACACTTGACAGGACATTTAACATGCTAATACTCAAACATGTAACTCAAAATGACTGCAAACCTTTTATATTCTAAAATTACAATCTAAAGAAAATAATTTGCTGGTTGTTTTTGTTAGAAGCCTGAAAAACCAAATACTGGCTATGAATCTATAATGAAGCAGTTTCCCTTAATGAAAAGAACAGTCAAAACCTACAGTGTGAGCAGTGACAAATCAATGAAAAAGAAAAAGAAAGACTATGGTGTAATGAATGAAGACTTTGGTAATAAGATACAGTTTGCACTGACAGTTGAAACAAGTGTAATGAGATCAACACAGTAATGGCAGTTTTACCATCCTAAATTAACACAAGCCTAAGTATGGTTAACTGGCTAAGTGACAAAATCCAAACTAAAGAAAGCGATAACCAGAAGAGGTTTGGTTATTTTTTCATCTTAGGCTCTTAAGTTACAGATGAGATTGCACAAGCATTCATGTCAAAATAATGGAAAGCACCAGGCTCATAAAAGGTGTTTGGGCACAGACCAGAAGTGCTGCATGGCCTTCATTACACATTTCTCTTCAACAGAATTCTTTAAAAATGAACTGAAAGAAAAAGGATCAGAAGAGGGTGAATTTCTCATTTTGCCTTTGAGTTTATGTTTGGAAGCAACCCCAGACGCCTTACTCTGAAGAGAGCTGTTGCTTTCAGACTCTTGATCTAACCCTAACCATAGCAGTTCCTGTTCTCTATGACGAGGTCATCTAATAAGATTTGTAAAACTAGTTTTCTTGGAGAGCTTTACATTACGTTTAGTGGAACACAGCTGAATTAAAGTAGTAGCTTATTTTAGAGATATTTTCTTTGTCTGCCATGAATTCGTAATAAATAACAAATGTTTCAGAGATTTAGGTGCATGTTTTTGTCATATATTCTAATATTTTAAGTTCTGAGCCGAGATCTGGGTCTATAGAAGCTTACAGGTTGTTGCTCTACAAATGTTAAGTTTCTCTCAAGAGACACATGGGAGATATCACTGCATAAGCATTACATGAAACACGACATAATCCAATTTGTCCATCAAGCACTGATGCTTTATTTACCATAACACTCCTAAACCCTGTTACAAATAAGTGAGTGCGACCTATCCGATCCTATAGGTTTGCTGAATGGAGTGTGAATTATGTCTGCTTATTCTTCTAGCTTATGCTTCATAATATTTCTGTTGTGTTTTCTGTTGTGTTGGAAAGGAAAAGTATTTTCCTTTCCTTTCAATCATTGTATGAATACCCTGACAAAGACTTGTGAAGTCATCATTCTTAAAGTGCTGCATTGTTTTTAGGAAAAACAAAACTCCAAAAGCTCTATAACCCTGTGTGCCATGAACACTGATGTCCTAGGCATAAAACATAATCATTCTTACAATCAAAACAGGAAACTAAATATGAATGACTTGACAATAGAGGTGAGCGGCTTCCTCTAGAGGACATCTTTCTGACCCTGAAAAGGCAGTGAACTCTGATCACGGACGTTGTGACAGCCGTCAACATTTGCTTATGATGGGGTAAACTGAAAATATTTCCACAGAATAGAGTTGCTTCGACCCATTCTCCAGAAAGTAGATCATTACTCACAGATTTTTGATTTCATGCCCAGAATTCCGAAATTAAAACAAACAAACAAACATTATAAAAAAAAATGACTATCTGGCATTCAAAGCCCATTTAAACTCAGTCAAGCAAATATGAGGGAATGACTAAGGCGACCCCTGAGATTTTTTTAGCCATTGATAATGTGTTTTTTGGAAGGCACGCTGAGCACCCTATAAAACATAAATTTTTTAATTGTTATTTGATTAGCAAACACTCTTACGACTTCTGAGTGTTGTAATTTGTAGTCCTAAATGGCCTTATTAACCACAAGTATTTGCACTTTGAAGGAACATAAATTAAATTTTTATGCATTCCCATTCCTTCATTTTAGTTAGAACTTTAAATTATTGAACATACTGTACTGGTGAACCAATAATGTCCCACAAGCTGATAATAAGGCAGAGCCAACAGCTACAGTTAAACTCTTGTTTTCACAGACGGAGGACTGAACGTGCCAAAAAAGAACTCCCACCTGCAATATAAGTTTGAATACACGGATTTAAACACCGGCAGGATAAATGGACGGGGAGCCAAAAGAAACAAACAGACAAGAACAAGCATATGGAGCCAAGGCAGCGGTGTGGCCATCCGCAGCTCATCTCTCACACTCCTGCAGAGCCCTACAGCTGAGCAGAATGACAAACAAAGCTTTCAAAGATGAGCCACTGGGGCATTAAACCCTATTATTACACATGGTATAGATAAACATTGGCCATGTTCTGCTGTTATTTCAATGCCAAAGTAAAGGTTTATTCCTGCAACCTATAGACGCTGTTTTTAATGTTACCACAGGAGCCCGATGTCTCCCCACAGAGGAACAGAAGTCCTGCAAGACTGTGTGGTCATGTCAGCAAAGCTTTGATTAAGATTAAATGGTGTTTTCAGGTGATAATTTGTATGTATTGATTGAAACCAGATGAATTTTAAACCACATTTAACAGCTGTGAGTATTTTAAATCACATCTGAGCTGCCACATCATACTTATCAAAGTCAAAATTATTTATTCACAGAATCTATTGGAATATAAAAGCGCAATTAATAGCATATTTATAGAGTCTAGACACTTATTATATCCATAAGCCCAAATAGTTACAGTAAATATTCAAAATGTGTTTCAGTTAATATTATTTTGTGTTTACGTTATTCCAGATGTGATACACTTTTGGGATAGTAAATATTCAGAATGTGTTTCAGTTAAGATAATTTTGTGTTTACGTTATTCCAGATGTGATCAACTGTTGTGATAGTACACCATGTGTGTGCTGATTCTGTCATTAAATGCTAAATGACTATAAAAACGATTGTAAACAGAAGTAACAATGCAGACATTTCCATATTAAGTCTCTCTGACAAATGTTCTCCATCTGTCTTATCTGGGATGTCTGCTGACGCATTTTTGCCAAATACGTCTCAGACAAATCCAACATTGCATGGATTTTGTCTCCTTCGTGGGAAAACTACTCTCTTTTCAGCCATGAATTCTGCTGGACTGTGATAATGTAATAATCAGCCTGTCACACGCTATGAATGTAAAAACACAAAGGACTTCACGCTTACAATATTTAAACAAAACTTTAGATTGACAAGCCACAATATCCTATTCCTCTCCAATACTTTATACATGATTTGGACTGCTTCAAGACTGTAAAGACACTTTAAAAAAATACAAGAGCATTTAAAAAAAAAGAAAAAAGCATGGCACTCCAATCCATCTCACCTAAATGTGTGGGAAAGGTTCCCAGATTTGCGGTTTTAAATCCAACCTAGGCTACCTACATTTCCCTAGAACATACACAATTCTCTGCAGTGTCCAGATGAAATGAACACTAAAAACAGTAAAATGCCAAATGTTTTTATTCGTTGACACACAAATTGATTATGGTGTAGATATTTGTGCTTCTACCTACATTTTCCAAAAACATACACAATTCTCTGCAGTGTCCAGTTGAAATGAACACTAGAAGCAATAAAATGCCAACTGTTTTTTTTCCTTGTCGCACAAATTGATTATGGAGTAGATGATGAACTTTTACCATAATGCATCACATAACAAGCTCCATATGTAAACTTGCTCGGTAGCTCACCTGGTACAGCATTGCACTTGCAATGTGGAGTGCTTGAGTCCTGTGAAACTTGAGTCAAGGTGATAAAAAAAGACTTGGAGAAGCAAGCGAAAATCACCAAATGTGTTTTTATCTCACATTTGCTTTTGTTAACACTATTGGTTAGGGTTTAGTAGGTGCTGTGTTATTTTTTTTTTAAATGCGATAAGCTTTAGCCTTTTACTGTCACTCTTCAGACATTTCATTTTCCAACTGCTTTGATACGTACAACAAACCAGCTTTATAAAACATTGCCAGATTCACATTCATCATCTATTTCAGAAAAAAACTGAATGTTGAACAACTGAATATTTTACTTTGAAAGACTTGCAAAATGTGTAAGAAGCAACATAATATAATTTTTTAGAAAGGACACCACAGGCATGTATTTCCAATGAGCCTCGGTTGTTTAAATCTAAAAGGTAGGCTCCACGCACAGCACAGCTTTAAATAAAATTTTAGCCTGAATCTGGTGTGCATTTAAATGCAGTACAGTATTTACTTTCCTAATAACAAATTCTAGGTTTTTCCAAAACAAACTTTTTAAGATGCACCTAAAGAAAATGTGCTGATATTTCACTTGTAGTCCCTTTCTATCAGTGCTCACCTTACCAATGCACCAGAAGGCCCCTGACCTGTGTCCTGGCCCTGTGGCCCCTCACCCCCTTTGAATAATGGCCAGGGATCCCTGGAGGATGTGAGATCACAGCCTGCAGGATGTTAGTCATTAAAAAAGACCCAGTTCTCCACTCGGGGACCAGGCCTAATTGTTTTTCTCTCACCCAGGTTAAGAAAGGCACAGCTGGTCCATGCAGATACATAATAATTTATGGCTATATGGATGCTGATTGCAGTTTGGAATCTTTATTGCTCTCATTGGTATTTAAAGTTGAGTAAATCTATTTATCTATCTATCTATCAATCTATTTAGTATCCATGTAATTCTATTTTTTATGAAGACAAAATAGTATAGATTGTATTGGTTATCAACCACAACATTTAGATAAAACTTCTAAACACCATGAAAATAATCTATCAATGGTTTGTTCAAATGTGGTTTGTGCA